AAACCCTAAACCCCCTAGAAGCAGTTGTAGTAGTCGTCATCGTCGTAGAGGAAACTGGTAAGTCGCTGGTGGTGGTGGTGGTGGTGGTGGTGGTGGTGGTGGTGCTGGTGGTGGTGTTGGTGGTGGTAGTTACTTGTGATTGTCGTTGCAGGCTTGTCGTACCAGGTTTCATGTTGTGACTGGTCTAGCCTGGTGAGATGTGTTAGTGCTGGTCCCTTCCACCCCGGTTCAACACTAATTCGCTATCAGTATTCCGAAGTTCCAAACCTCCAAAGCCCTACCTAATCTCCTACACCTCCAAAGCCACAAGCCACACAGAAAAGCCCCACCCCAGGCTACTGCGGTAACCCTAAACCCTAAACCTTAAACCCTAAACCCTACCCCAGGCTACTGCCAGGGGATGAACTTCGTGGCGGGCTTGCTTCTTCTGGTAGCGCAGGGTGGCGACTTCTCTCAACCAAGCCCCGAAGCTCGGCGGCTTCTCGTGGGCTCTTTTGCTAAGTAGGTCCTAGCACTAAGCAACCCAAAAACCCTTCAATCCAACCCTGAACCCTAAACCCTAAACCCTAAACCCTAAACCCTAAACCCTAAACTTCAACCTCTCTTGAGCTTTCGGGGATGAGGGGTGGGATTTCGAGATTGGGGAGTTTTTCGGTTGAGGTGTTCGGAGGCTTTGGGCTTCGAGCTTTCAGGGAAAGGCGTTTCCTGTTCCGGGGTGTAGGTTTTCGTCTAGTGTAACCGTCGAGCTTCGTCTTCAGCTAGGGGTTGGCGGCTTCGGGTTGAGGGTGTTGTATTGTAGTTAGTAGTTCCATGCAGAGCATCCGTGTTCGAGGTCGGTTTATGGCTCCCTAAATCCTAAAAACCAAAAACTTTAAAGTCCTATTAAGCCACATTATAAAGCAGGCGTCGGGTTTGCGCTTATGCCGGGCAGGGTTTGGTCGGTAGCCATTGGAATCGAATCTGCAACTCGAGGAACTGCATTGCCATGAAGATGTCTGAGGCAGTTCCTGAACCTGAAGATACCCGAAGTCGCCTTGACATGCTTAGGGTCCCAGCTTAGATAAAAATAGGCCCTAAACCCAAAACCCTCAAAGCTTTCAGCCCAGGAAGTCGAAGAGTCCACATTTTGGATGTTCTTCTGCCTCATGGAGCCACTCGGCCTCATGGAGACGCCCCCTCCTGTTTGTCAGGGTTTAGGGGCTTGGGGTTTTAGGGTTTAGGGGCCAGTCCAAACCGTAAACTTGTAAACCTTGTCACTCGCCCGACCCCGAAAAGGTTCAGTTGAAGAGCCTATCCCTGAACCCTAAGGCGAAAACAGATTGAACAAGGCATCCAACAGAAAGCCAAGCCTAAACCCTAAACCCTCAACCCTAAATCCGCAACCCCCCGGTAGATCGTTCGAACCGGGTCCGGGTTCTGGTGGCCCATGACGGTTCCAGCCTTTTTTTTCTGTCTGGGGTTTAGGGTTTGGGGTTGGTTTTTTTTGGGGAGGCTATGGGCTTTTATTGTGAAGGTTGAGGATTTCGGGCGTTTATGGGGTCATGTGAGCTGCCACGCTTAAAATCTCATGCAGCATGTTTTTGCCCTGATGGGTCATGGACCACCTGCGAGAAAGCAGCACACATCATGATGTCCGAGCAGGCAAGACAGGTTGTGGGTTTTGGGGGTGGCTTTGTCCGTGGTCGCTTGAGTGCTTCACTTAGGCGGCTTCTGCTTGAGAATCCTTGTTTGATGAACCATGGGCACTTGCAGGCAGTCAGCCAATTACGGAACACTTAAATGGCCACAGTTTCAATTCGCAGCCCGTGTACTCGAATCTTAGCCGCAAGACCCCTCACACTCTTCCCTAAACTATCAATCACTAGAATAGGGTTTTGGGGGTTCCAAGTTATAAGTATGTTATAATTTACCTCAAACCTTATTCTAATCCTAACGCTACGCAGCCCGCCTCGGCTCGACAGTGGCGAGGGAAGCGGAGGAATGAATGGATGACGGGCCAGCAGGGGTGGGGGGTCGAAACTGTGGCCAAAAAGCGCATGAGGATTAAATAGAGGGGCCGGGGGCCTGTGAGGCGAGTGCAAGCTTGTGAGTTCTGCAAGAGAACAAGGAGAGATAGATAGGGAAGAGAAGAAAACAAGCACAGAAGAGGCAGGGGAGCAGGGGCGCCAGGAAGGGAAACGGAGGAATGAATGGATGAAGATGGGAAGGAACGAGTGCCACAGGTGCTAAACCTGAACAAAGACTTGGGGGGGAGGGGGGGGAGGGGCTGGGCGTGAAGGGTGGGGTGAGAAGGAAAACGAGGCGAACAAAACAAAGTGGAGGGGAAGGAAGAGGAGGGGCCAGCCGGGGTGGCGGGTGGAAACTCTGGCCAAAAAGCGCATGTCACCAAACTTTGGGCTGCAGGGAGGAGGATTAGGTAGAGGGGCCGGGAGTGCAAGCGAAAACAAGGGACAGAGATAGGGAAGAGAGGAAAACCAGCACAGAAAAGGCAGGGGAGCAGGGGTGCCAGGAAGGGAAGCGGAGGAGGGGGGCAGGGCAGTGAGGGCGGGGGTGGGCGTGAAGGGGGTGAGAAGAAACATGAGGGATAGATCAAAATGGAGGGGAGGGCAGATGAAATTTCCGGGTGGGGGGTACTGTGGCCATCCTGCGCATGTCACCAAACTTTCGGGCTGCAGAGAGGAGGAGGACTAGGTAGAGTTAGAGGGTACTTAGCTCAACCATCAAGACGCCGGAGGCCCGTGGCCTCGGCGGATTATCAAGGCCCCCAAAAAACTCAAAACTCAAAGCTCCCAACCATCAACCCTCAAACAAGAACCCTCGCACAATCTTTAATCGAATCCTGTAGCGACCGGGCAAAACCCGTTACATGCGTGTTCGAAAAGCCGTTGCAAAACCCCAAAGCATCCGATAAAAGCCCTAAACCCTAAACCCTTTCTTGCCAATGAGAGACTGATGGGCTTTGTTCATGGTTGGGGTGATCGCCGCAAGGGGGACTCAAGATTTTTGCATGGGCTATCGTGAGCAATCGCATTCACGAAAGACTCGCAAGCCGAATTTGCAGTGGTCAGACGTGGCACCCTGCCGAGTGATTCGCTCAGCAACGCAGGGGGAACAGGCCACAAACACCCTAAACCCCACCAAGAACTTGCAAACCGTTACGAGCCCATTGATGCCCATTGTGATATCTTCCTAGACCGTAAATCCTAGAAGGGAGAAACTAAAAACACACCCCAAAAAACAACACCCCCTCCGAGCCCCGAAGAATCGAGGTTCGGCCAGCTGAACGGCTTCTACCGTCGTGGGTTTCCGCTCCTCAAAAGGCAGCTGGGAGCATTAACCAGGCGATTGCTATATTGGGTTACTAAAATGATTGCTGTAGACTGAGATCAGTATGAGGGTTCTAAGATGTTAAAAGGGTTGTGGGATCTTTTGGGATTTATGGTTTGGATGTGTTTCGGGCTTGAGGCACTTGTCAGTCAGTGTGTCCGCACGGTCGCTTGCGTCTGCGGTCGATGTTTGCTGGGCCATGTCTCGGTCGATATGTACCGGTTGGTCGCTTGGGGCGCTGTGTGTGTCAGTTCCCTGGTGAATGTATGCTATTAGGTTTAGGGTTTAAGGTTTAGGGTTTAGGGTACTATTGGTGTTGCTGGAAGTGTCCTTGGAGATGTCTGGGTCATGCTGTCCATCGACATTGGTATGGAGTCTCGCGATACTTGGGCAGGTCGGGTAGGTCTCAATCATCAATAACCAGACATCCGCATTTTATTTGTGGCCTTTTGGCATCCGAGCTAAACGTGAAGTCCACACAAAGGAGCATGCGCAGCAGCAGTAGAGTTCCCTGCGTCCTGTAAAAGTAGGGAGTGATACCGCCCCGTAGGGTGCCTTGTTCGTACGAGAATATACCCCAAACCCTATTCTAGTTGCTACAGGTAGTTATTAAGGTAGGGCAGAGCGGTCTTCGGCTTTTCGGCTTTCGCGTTCGGGCGTTTGAAAACCGCAATCTTAGTGGGCTAGGTTCTGGATCATGTGAAGTTGGAGGTGTAGCAGGGTGGGGCGTTCAAGAAGTTCAAGAACCTTGAGGCTTACGTGTTGTCAATGAGGTATCTGTGGGCCTTCGATGAGCTGGTGGCCGCGTCTCTTCCAGAGCTTCACGAGCACTTCTGCCAAGAGAACCTCCAGCACTCCGTCTACCTCCATCAATGGTTCCTGCCCCTGGCCCTGGTTTCGGTTCTGGTTTGAGGGTTTAGGGTTTAGGGCTTAGGGTTTAGGGTTTAGGGTTTAGCTTGCTCCAAATTCGGGCGAAGTGGAAAGCCTGTTGCAAAAGGGTTTAGAATTCAAGGAGGAGGAGTCCCTGCGGTGAAAAAGGGAGGAGGCTACATCATTGTATTTTTTCGCGCCGTTTGTTGATCCCGTCTCATGGCTTGCTTCGTTCGTGGTGGGTGAGTGAGAAGTTTCGTCAACTTCACATGGAAGGGTTCTGTGAGATTGGTGAAACCCTAAACCCTAAAGGGTCTTACGCTTGCGTGAGCAGAGAAGCCCAAGACTGCCGAGGACCCTCTTCGTTAGCAGCCTGCCGTTGCCCATGGTACTTGTGCTTTGGGACGCCATCATCTGCGGAGGCCTCGCGGAGATTCTATCGATCTCCATAGCCGTGCTGCAGTTGCTGCAGCAGACACTTCTGGGCATGCGGTTCGAAGAGGTTGTCAGCTTCTTCCAGACGCTGAAGACCCGCGAGCAGGAAGACTGCGACTTCGAGAGTATCGGCCGCATTGCCGTCATCAGCAGCGGGAGCTTTTCCATTCCCAAGCATGTCGCAGATGTGCTGCGCAGGCCGCTTCCGCTGACGTCCGACCACCTCATGGAACGTTCTCCGCAGTCACCCACGAAACGCATGCTGGATTCAGATGAGGATATGACCACGACGGCAAACACAACCACAGTCAATTCGCCTTGTAGCACGGGTGCCGCCAGCAGTGAGGGCGGTATGTTGCGCGACTACTTGCGTCAGATCAACCAGGGTCTCAGTTGGTGGGTCGATGCCAGGTCTTCATGGGCTTGAGCCGTAAAGTTTAGGGTTTGGGGTGTGGCTTTCAAAGATGGGACCCCCCTTCTTGAAATCAATGTGGCATCCAAGAGGGGTCCCAACTTTGACAGCCCTGCCGAGAGTGTCACAGGGTGGGCCGTCGGTTTCTGCAAGAGGCACAGATCCACCGCCAAACGGCCAGGTCAGCGCAAAACACGACAGTTTTCTCGCTGCTGAGACTTTAACCTTATGTGTGCCAGCGTGAAGGCGGAGCAGCAGCTAGCAGATCTTTTGAATAACAGGCTGAGCCTGCGACAACCAACGACCGATTCATCAGTCTTTGCAGAAAAATGATGTGAAGTCCCCTCCATGGGATATAAAGAAGATCCCCCAAACTCAAATGATCCGAAGGCCCTGCTGGGGATGGACCGAGGCCTGTAAGGCTTTGGGAATCGATGATATAGGGGCCTAAACAATTACATACATTAGTTTTGAAGTTCCTGACTATATTTAGAGTATAACGGCCCCCAAAACCCTAGTCAAATTATGAAGGCCCCCACATTAGGTTTTGCTACCCTTCCTGAACCCGCCACGCTGCACATGCCTCTGATGGCACGCCAACAGAGCGAGCCAGCGTCGCGTTACCATCAAGTTCCTGTAAGTCTCTGGAACACTCAGGCCCGTGCAAGGCGCCTTATTACGAAAAACTAGCCTGATACTTATTATTACAACTATTAATCTTCAACAATTGCTATCCAATAACTGCTATCAACGTATTTAGTAGAGCCAAAAGAGTGTAAGGTTGAGTTTCGACACAGGTTGGTTGACTCAGGGCACATGGAGGACGGAGGTTTGGGACGTGCGAGGTTTCAGGGTCGATCTGTGTGACCGTCGCTTGGGAGAGTCTCTGCAAGCCGCGGTTTAGGGTTTAGGGTTTAGAGTTTAGGGTTTAGGGTTTAGTTTTTAGGCTTTAGGGTTTAGGGTTTAGAGTTTAGGGCAAAGGGTTTAGTTTTTAGGGTTTAGGGTTTAGGGTCAGCATTCGGGTCTCAGGAAACGGGGTCGAAAGAGGGCCAACCTGGGCAGCGAAGGTGTTTCCAGAACCTTGTAGCTTCAGGCTTGCACTCTGCAAGCTTGTCTTGTCGCACATCCGAAGGGAGACTTCGCCCCAGTTCTGCGGCTTGCGAAGGAGGCTATTCCCATTTCCTGAACCCGAAGTATAGTCTTTTATAACTTTACTACAATGTACCCCCCCAAGCCACGGCCCCTCTAGCAAACCCCCCCATACCACTGGTCCAGGGCCTCAGGCTCCCTTTGGATTGAAGAAGCTGGAATTAGGGCTTCGGGTTTCGGGTTCCAGGGTTGAGAGTTGAAGTTTAGGGCGTGAAGTGTATTTACGGTTTAAGTTCAAGCGCGAGGGTTTGAAGCATTCAGGATATACACATCCAACTGCATGTGGAGGCGGCGGGCGAACTTAGTTTGCCGCTCTGTACAGGTCGCAAAAAGAGCCCTTGACCCGCGCTGGCCCTTGGGTTTGTTCAGCCATGAACTCCGCCGTAGCAACAAAGTAACCTTGTGGTAGCCCGTCTAGTCGCCCGTTTCCTCCGACGGTATTGTAAAGAGCCTTGTGAGGTAGTGGCGAAGCATGGGAGCGCTAAAAACTAGGCCGATTTTAAGCATTACGTCGCTCGAAAATTCCGTGCTTGGCCATTTCGTTGCTTGACAGCACATGTTAGTTCTGATATGGGGAATGGGTAATCATAGGCTAGGCTCGTCCAGGACCTGCCAGACACCCTAACTTAAACCCCAAATCCCAGGACCCAAACACATGACACGTCGATCCCGAAACCCCAAGGCCCCAAGCCCTACATGCCCTAGTTAGATCCCGACTCTTCCGGGCTTCTGTTTTTGAATCCCAAGCCCTGCAGCTCCCCAGGCCATGACCCTAGTTTTAAGTTCGCAAGATTTACAGGATAAGGTTTAGGGAGTTTAGGGTTTAGGATTTAGACGGGGTAAGGGTTGCATGGGCGCTGGCCCTTGCTAGGTCGGAGGGGAAAAAACCCTAGGAGGACCTTAAACCCTAAACCAGAAGAGGAACTTAAACCCTAAACCCCCCAAAAAAAACCTAAACCCTAAACCCTAACCCAAGAACGTCTTCTCCGGCTCCAGGGTCTCGGCGTCTGGGCTTTCGCCACAGCGCCGAGGAGCACCAACTCCAACAGCTCCCCGGCTGGAGCGGTTTCTTAATTAAAGGGTTTAGGGTTTAGGGTTTAGGGATTAGGGGTTTAGGGTTTAGGGTTTAAGGAAACTACAGGCGGGGAGTTTAGGGTATATAGGGCTTCTAGAAAGGCGTCTATAAGGTATACAGACCTTCTAGAAGGCTCTTGTAACGGTAACTACCCACCTGAAAATGTCCTTGACTTAAGGGCTTAGGTTCTACGGTTAAGGGCTTAGGGGTTTAGGGCCTGGGGGTTTAGGACGGCCTTATTTTTGAGGGTTTCGGGTTCAAGGCAATTTTGGGAGTCCAACACCCAGGACGGAATGATTGGACATGCCATCCCCTTGCTGTAGACTTATAATGTAAGAGACCCAGGCGCCTAAACACGATTCTAAGCATTACGTCGCTCGAAAATTCCGTACTTAGCCTTGTCGTTGCTTGACAGCACATGTTAGTTCTGATATGGGGAATGAGTAATCATAGGTCTAGGCTCGTCCAGGACCTGCCAGACACCCGAACTAAACCCCAAATCCTAGGACCCAAACATGACACGTCGATCGCGAAACCCCAAGGCCCCAAGCCCTACATGCCCTATCTGTTTTTGAATCCCAAGCCCTGCAGCTGCCCAGGCCATGACCCTAGTTTTAAGTTTGCAAGATTTCAAGGATTTAGGGCTTTAGGTTCAGGTTTAAGGTTTAGGGTTTAGGGTTTAGACGGGGTAAGGGTTGCATGGGCGCTGGCCGGCACCTCAGTCCTTTCTGAGAAAAGGGTTTAGGGCTTTACCCCAAAACCCAAACCCCAAAGGCTTGGGTTGGGGTGCAGAGTTCAAAGCCCGGTCCTCACTCACGCCGCTTTGCAGATTGGGGCTGGTTTGTCGCAAGGGGGTGATCGTGCTAAAGCTAAAGCGGCTGTTCAACCTCAACTCTCCAAGCTTGTTGTAGTAAGATGATCGCATATCGCAGTATCTTATAGTAATAGTATCTTTTAGTATATGAGAGTATATCATAGTATATCATAGTATGCTATATTATCTTATAGTGCATTATAATATCTAAGAGCGTATTGTAGTATTTTATGGCTTGTTTGCAAGCATTTTTGAACACACAGGCCAAAGCCAGGAGCTTGTTTCGGGTTTAGGGTTTGGGGTTTAGGGCGCCAACTTCGAACTCAGACACCTGGCCCGGATTGTCCCAGCTGTGAGAGTCGAAACCCGAAAGCCGTTGCCTCTGACATGACTTGAGGCACCTTCCGCTCAGGTCTGAACTGGCTGTGAGCGAGAGTCATCTGTTCCCTCTGACCCAACCCTGCGCTGTGGGCTGGCCCTAGCCAGGCGGGAACCCTAAATCAAAACCGTCAACTCCCTACACCCTAAACCCTAAACATCCCTAAACCCTAAAACCCCTAAACCCCTAAACCCGGGAACCCTAAAATCTAAAAACCCTAAACCCTTAATCGCTTGTCCGAGTGTGAGTGTCAACAAAACCCTCAATTCCCCCAGCCCTCGAATGCGAAGACCCGCGCACCGCAACGTCCCAGGCGGATCCTGGACCAGCATGTGGCCGACACCCTGGGCATCGAGGCTCGTTGTTGCTTTAAAGTTCAGGGGCTCGGGATGAGGGGCTAATATAGGGTAGTAAATAATTACCTATACCATTTTTTTGGGTTCCTGATTACAACTATAGTATAACGGACACCAAAACCCTATCCCAAAAAAAATAAGGCCCCGACATTAGGCTTTAGGGTTAAGGGTTGGGTCTTCTCAACAAGGTCTGAGTTGCAAGGCCACAGAGAGCCCAAAATACAACTTTCCAATCTCCTAGAACCTCAGAGGCCTGTAAAGTTGTGCGACGCGTGAGACTTTTTTGCAATGCCTATAAGAGAGTCCCCAAGTCAGATGACTGCAAAGCTTGAATTGGTGAGTTTGGAAATGGTTGGAAACCGTTTCAAAATCGTGCATGACCGGAGCTTTTAGGCTCGGCACTGGCCTGGCCTGCAAACGCAGTGCTCTGCTAACCCCATGTTTCTTCCATTCAGAGCCACGGTGTGTTTAGCCTTCAGCGCCATCCCTGTGGTTGCGATCCGAGCCGACGCAGACTCCTTCAAACCCCACAAGGAGGACTTGAACGACGGAGTCACTTACATCTGTGCATCTTTTGGGTTTACTTCTTTTGAATCAAGCCAGCCCGCAACTGTAATGTAGTGGCAGTTTTGGCAAGCAGGACCTCTGTTGGAATCCTGATGAAGAGCCACCGGACAAGTTGGGCACCGTCACTGCCATCATGACGAGGAACTTGGGGCAGCAGTGCCGACATGAGGTGCAAGGACTCATGGAGGATCTTTTCAAGGAATGTGAGAAGATAGAGGGGTTTTCCAAACAGAAATGCCTCAAGGAACTCCTCCAGTGGTTCACAGCGACTGAGGAGCGGAACGAAGGCCTGCGGCTGAGAACCAAACTAGCTGATGCACCTAAAGAAGCGATGCTATGGGCGGGCTTTCACGGTGGCGATCCTCGAGGACTCAACCAGACGGCCTTGGAGCACTTTGCCAACATGGTGGACACGAGCATCGTCCACCCCAGCACCATTCTGGGCAAAATTGTCCAGAAGAACAACGACCTCCTTGGCTGCAGAGGCGATCCGGGCGCTTCAGTGCCTTGCTTCAAGAGAACGAGCTGGGACAAAGGTCCGGTTGTCAACTTCTGGATCGGCGCTAGCCGTGCCTTCGTGGAAGGCATGGCTGCGAGAGATCAGGGCTCGGTGGTGGCTGTCCTGAACAAAGGCCTAGATCCAACGGAAAAGTGGTCGCTCTACAAGTCCGTGTTCTGGAATTACGAATTGTTCACAATTGGAAAGGAACTGTTTGATGGGTTTTTCCCACAGATTCTCCTGATCGACATGCGGGGCACCTGTCAGAAGCTGGTCAAGCTGGTCACGGAGGAATTGAGAAAGACGTTTTGGAGACCTACCGACACCTTGCTAAAAGCCAAGCCGATCATGTGCTTCGATTGCGCCAAAGGCCAATGTGACCTGGACGAGGCCTTGGCCGCAAGAGTGCGGTCGTGTCTGGGCAAGGACTGGCGGTCATGGTTTCGCAGCTGGATTCGCACACCCAAGTGTCCTAGGTTCGAGCTCGAGTATTGGCGACACACAGAAGTCGCTGTACGAGGTAGCTAGGTTCCAACGCTGAGTTGGCTAGGACGCGCCATATGTGCGTGCGAGTCGCTGGAGCGGCATCGGCTCGTGCATGCATGCGCCACGAGAACATTGCGAGTGATTGGCCTTGCCTGTGTACGAGTGTGAGATTCCGCTTCCGCGAGACCCCCTGAAGCTTCTGCTGGGTTTATGGTTTATGGCCGAAGTTCAGGGTTTAGGGATGGGCGACGTCATTGCAAACCGCATACCGTACCACTACCGTACTCCACTCTAAGATGCTATAAATATATCGCTTGGGGTTTAACTTCAGGGTTCAGGGATGAGGGGCGAGGGTTTAGCGTTAAGGGTCTTCTCAGCAACAAGGGGCCACAGAGCACAAATACAACTTTCAACCCTCCTGGAACCTTAGAGGCCTGTAATGCCCTGCGACGCATGAAACTTGTTTGCAATGCCTATAAGAGAGTCCCCATGATTGCAAAGAAAGCCTTTATGGCTTGAATTGGTGGTTGGCAACCGTTTGAAAATCGTTTATGACCGGAGCTTT